AGCAAAAATTTAAAAAATCTCCCAACTAAAAAAAGTCCAGGTCCAGATAGATTTATGACTGAATTCTATCTGACCATTGAAGAACTAACATCAATGTTTCTCTAATTATTCCATAAAATAGAAATAGAACACTGCTGACCCTGATAATAAAGCTAGATAAACACACAACAAAATGAAATTTTAGAACAATCTCCCTAATAAACATAAATACAAAAATCCTCAATAAAACACTTTGCAAACATAATTTAGGAACACAAAAAGATAGCTCAGTAAATAATAAAGGCTATGTATGACAGATAACATTATACTAATGGAGCAAAACTGAGAGCATTTCCACTAAAATCAAGAACAAGACAAGATTTTCTCCATTCTGAATGTAGTGTTCAAAGTCTTGGCACTGAGGTAAAGTGAAATAAAAGGCATATAAATAGGAAATGAAGCAAGCAAAATGTCCACATTTGTAAATATGGTTCTTTATATAAGAGACCCAGACTTCACCCAGAAAACTTAACACTGATGAACACAGCAAAATGACAGGATATGAAATTAACATTAAAATCAGTAGTATACCAATAACAAACATAATGATAAAGAAATCAGAAAATTGCATTCACAGCTTCCTCAATAAGTAAGTAAATAAACCTAACCAAAAAAGTGAAAGACCTCTACAATGAAAGCTTTAAAGCAGTTAGGAAATTGAAGAAGATACTAGACAATGAAAAGGTTTCCTCTGCTTGTAGATTGGAAGACAATGTTGTGAAAAATGGCTTATTCTACCAACAATAATCTACAGATTCAATACAAACTCCATTAAAATTTCAATACCATTTTTCATAGAAATAAAAAAATTAAATTTCATATAGAAGCACAAAAACCCCAGATAGTCAATGAAATTCTGAGCAAAAAGAATGCTGAAACTGTCACCCTATCTTATTTCAAGTTTTACTATAAAGCCATAGTAATGAAGACAGCATGGCAGTGGTACAAAAACAGACATATAGGTCAATGGAACAGAATAGAGGAACCAGAAATCTACACAGCTACAGCCACCTGATTTTCAAAAACATGACAAAAATATACATTGGTGAAAAGAGAGCCTCTTCAACAAATGTTATTGGCAAGATGGGGTATCTACATATAGAAGAATGAAACTAGATCCCTATGTCTTACCCTATACAAAAATTCAACTCTAAATGATCAGACCTTAATATAAGACCTGAATCTCTAAAACTTAAAAGGAAAATAGAGGAAACATTTCAAGATATCAGTATAGGCAAGCACTTTCTGACTAGGACTCCAGTCACTCAGGAAATAGTACCAAAAATTGACAACTGGAATTTCATGAAATTCAAAAACTTCTGCACAGCCAACAAGTGAAAACAGGGTATTCATATATAGAAAAATGAGCCTAAATCTTTTTTCTCTAACCCCATACAAAAATCAGCCTACAGAAAATAAGTATCAAAAAACTAAACACCTAAAACCAAACCACTCAACCAGTAAATGAGCTAATGAAATGAGCAGACAATTCTCAAAATACAAAGTACAGTTAGCCAATGAACATGAAAAATATTTAACGTCACTAGCCATCAGAGAAAAACTACTTTGAGCTTCCATCTCACCCCAATCACAATGGAAGTCATCAAGAAAACAACTACCGGCAATGATGTGGAAAAAGGGAACCCTCGTACACTGCTGATGGTAATGAAAACTAGTTGGAACTTCCTCAAAAAAAAAAAATGGACCTATCACTTGATACAGCTATACCACTCCTTTATTTTTACACAAAAGATTCCAAGTCAGTATATCACAGAGATAATTGCACATCACTATTTGCTGTAGCATTTTCACAATGCAAAATTATGGAACTGATGTAGGTATCCATCAGTAGAGGAGTGGATAAAGAAAATTTGAATTATATACACAGCCATAAAGAAAAATGAAGTTGTATCATTTGCAGGAAAATGGATGCACCTGGAGATAATCATATTAACGAAGTTTAAAAAGCATTAGAAAAACAACATGTTTTCTCTTATTTGTGGATCCTAAACTTTGTAAATGTATAAAGCAAGCTCAGGGTACTGGCCCAAAAACAGACATATAGACCAAAGGAATGGAGGACCAAGAAATAAACCCACACAGCCACAGCCACCAGATTTTTTCAGTGAAGTTGTCAAAAACATAAATTGGAGAAAACACAGCCTCTTTAGCAAATGGTTCTCGGAAAGGGGTATTCACATACGGAAAAATGAACCCAGATCATTTTCTATACAAAAATCAGTTCAAGGGACTGGACTCAGTGCTCAGCGGTTAAGAACACTGGCTGCTCTTGCAGAGGATCTAAGTTCAATTCCCGGCACCTACATGATGGCAAACAACTGTCTGTAACTCCAGTTCTGGGGAATTTGATGCCTTCTTCTGACCCCCACAGTCATTGCATGACACAGTGGACACAGTGTACTTAAAAACATGCAGGCAACACATTCATACACATGAAATTAAAAAATAGTTTTAAATGGCTAAAAGCCCTTAATGTAAGACTTGACACTTGAAAACTGCTGGATGAAACAGACAAAAAACACTTCAAGATATAGGAATAGGCCAGGACTTTGTATAAAGGACTCCCAACAGCTCAGAAAATAATAGATGAAAGTAGAAGGGGAACTATGTGGGGAGAGAGGGAGACTAGCTGGAAGAGAGGAGGCAGGAAGAAGAGTGAGAAATGGGGTATAAAAATAATATTGCATGTTTTCTTATATGCACAATATAAATATATATGTCTCATATATGACTTCAAAGCAGAAGATGGACTGTTTGAGGAATTTCCTAGAGGAGGGGTAAGGAAGCACAAGAGAGGGTAATGGGAAATCAATATAACCAAAGCCCACTAACTGAAATACGTGTATGGAAATATCATAATGAAACCTGTCAATGTTATATGCTAACCAAAATAATAAAAGCATTTTAAACAAAAGCACACATAAAAATATAAGCTGTAGGGCTGGAGCTATGGCTCAGCAGTTCAGAGCACTGGCTATTCTTGCAGAAGACCTGGGTTTGAATCCTAGCACCCACATGGCAGCTAACAGCTATCTGTAACTTCAGTTTCAGGAGATCTGACACCATCTCTGACCTCTGTGGGCACTGCATGACACGGATGCACTTATATACATGCAGGCAATATGCTCATACACATAAAATTAAAATAATAAAAAAGAAAAGAAATATAAGCTATTTTCTACCCATTTCCACTGGGTGATGTGTTCTACCAATATATATAAAACTAATTCTTTAATGTTTGGACAAGCAGATAAGAGAAAATAATACTTTTAATGTAGCCAGGTGGTAGACCACTTGCTTAGAATGCAGTAAGGCTTCCAGAACTACAAAAATAAACCCCGGTGCTGGCGCTGGAGAGATGGCTCAGTGGTTAAGAGCACTGGATGCTCTTCCAGAGGACCCTGGTTTGGTTCCCAGCACCCACATGATGGACAAAACCATCCTTAACTCCAGTTCCAGGAGATCCAACGCCCTTTTCTGGCCTCCACAAGTGTTGCACAACATGGGTGCACTTGCATAGACCAGTCATACAAATAAAAATAAATTTTAAAAAATTTAAACTTTAAACAAAAGTACTATGATACAATAATTATGAGTTAGAAAAAAATAGGTCATTCAGCAATATTCACAAGAGTTTTGAAATCTAGGAATCATGCTTTTTTATTTGCTTGCATATTTCCTGTGGCTTAGCTTTTGGGACATGACATTATGTACTGTATCTTTTTGGTTTTGGAGTTTTTTTCTTTTTTGAAACAAAGTTTTGCTATTATAGCCCAGGCTGAGCTGGAACTCACAATTCTGCTTTAGCTTCCTGATTACTGAGATTACAGCTATCCACTTGTACTTGGACATTATATGAATTATACTTAACAGTAAAGAGCAAATACAAAAGTCAAATATAAAATCTAGATTCTATACTTTTTTGTTTTTTCATCTTTTTGAAACAGGGTCTCCCTATAGCCCAACTGGCCTGGAACTCGCTATGGAGTGATTCAGGCTGGCCTCAATCTCACAGGTGCCTCCTAAATGCTTGGAGTTAAAGGTGTGCACCATCAAGCCCAGCATGAAATCTAGGTTGTATGCATTTTTACTGGAAAATTATTAGTTTATATGTGCTAATAATAACTAAATAAAATATGTGAAGACCTATATAAATATAAGAAATTTTGTGTTGAAACCTTTTTATTTTTAACAAGCTTTTCTATTTTGTTTCCTTTAAAGCAAACGTTATTTTTAAGGATTCTTTTTATTTTTTAAAAGGGAATTATAGGACTGGAGATGTCCTCAGTGGTAAAGCATTTGCCTATCATACACTATGCCTTGGGTCTCATCCCCAGCGTGGCAATAAAAAAAAAGGAAAGAAAGAAAAAAGGGAGGGAGAAAGGAGAGGAGGAGAGAGAGGAGAGAAGAGGGGAAGGGAAGAGAGAGGAGAGGAAGGAGAAGAGAGGAGAAAGGGAGAGGAAATGGGAGGGGAGGGGAAGAACGGAGGGGAAGGGAAGGAAAGGAAAACGAAAATTATTGCTTTGGGCTGAAATCCATTTCATCCCAATTTTTAAGCTGGAACATGAATTTCTCATGCTTTTCTTATTACATACAGCTCAATGCTGAAAGTCTTCTAAGACCCACTAACTTCTTTATTCTTTTAGTCCCCTTCACTTTGGAAAAATGAAATGATAGTGTTAAGCTGGGATTCCCATGCTGGTGTAGCATACAAAGAGGCTTACTCCTGCAGTGCCCTCTTCATAAAAGGAAAATTTTTTATATAGGGATGGGCAGGTAGTTCAGTGGTAAAGAACTTGCCTAGCATGTGTGAGACCTTAAGTTGACTCTCCAGTACTGTAATATGAAATTTAATGTAACAGCCTAAGAAAATGGTAATAATTAATGCATTTATTTAGGTATGGTTTCATCACTTTTGAAACTCAAGAAGATGCACAAAAGATCTTACAAGAGGTAAGATCTTTCAGTATATTTAACTTCAGTTTTGGAAATTCTTTCTTTGAAGCTAATCTTTTAAAATGTTTAATGATAGAGTACAAGGACAGTGATTCATTTCCAAATGAATTTTACGTATTAATATTGACATTGGCTTCTAAGAAACTATCTGAAAAAGAACCAATCCCAAATCACCATGTGAAGATGGTTGTGAATTCTAATGTGTTTCACTTTATTTGCTTAAAATAATAAATGTAGATTCTTAAAGTTACCTGAGATTATTTCCTTCCTATATAAAACTTTATAGAAAACCAAGAATATTCATAAAAACTCTCTAGCTTGTAGTTTTGATAGTTTCATTATATATTAATATGATATACAGTCAATTCTTATTATCATAGTAGTTCTATGTTCCATAATCACTATAAACGTTGAGTTTAAATGCTGGCATTCCTAAGAGAAATACAAGTTAAGGATCCAAAGAACCTCTGGTCACAATTTTGCCACCAGCCAATCAATATATAACCTGGTTTCGTATGTATTTCTATTTAAAGACATTGTGTTAGCAAAACTTTTAGTTGCTTGTCACAAAGACCTGATAGAAACAATTTAAAAGATATAATTTTATTTCTGCTCATGGTTTCACAGGTTTCAGTGCGCAGCTGGCTGGCTGTGTTGCTGTAGGCATTGGACATTGCAGAACATTATGACAGTGAAAGCATGTGACAAAAGATGCTCATGGTGTCCAGGAAGGAGGGAGAAACTGAGGAAGGGATCTGGGACATGATACAAGGCCTAGAGAACACAACTCCAACTTACTACCTCCAACTAAGCCTCACTTCTAAAAGTTCCATGGTCTCTCAATAAGGCTACCAAATTATTAATCCATCAGTAGTTTAAACTCGTAAATCAATCCTTTATCATCCAATTACCTCTTAATGATCACATCTACTCATTGAGAACCAACCCTCCAATACATGAACTTTTTCAGGAGGTGGGGGGACATTTCATATGCAAGCCGTACCAGGCACCATGTTTAATAAGTTGTTGAATCATTAACAGTGAATTCATGACCAATAGCACTATAATTCATACCTAAATTATCTTGTCAAACACATTTTTTCCACGAGATGTATGACAGTCTTATACTTAGGAACCACTAGCTAGTACTTCAGCACTTGGAAGGCATTTTAAATAACAAATCATGGGACTGAAGAGATGGCCCAGTAGTTAAGAGCACTAACTGCTCTTGCAGAAGACCCAGGTTCAAATCCCAGCATGGCAACTATCATCCGTAATTCCAGTTCCAGAGAATCCGGACACCCTCTTCTGACTTCCGTGGGCATTCCATGACATGCATTACATTCATGCAGGCAATGCACTCATACACATAAGAAAAATAAATAAAAATATTTAAATAACAAAGCACATAATGTGTAAAACATGTATGAAAAAAGACACTTGATTATAGCATCATAGCTGAAACAAGAAGAGAAAGCATTCCCTTGTTGATCTCAGCTGGGAACTTCTGTCAGGCTGGTATTTTTCTGTATGTGTCCACTAAAAACCTTGAAATCACAGGTATTGGCTCGGGAGTTACAAATAAATTTTAGTTTAGTGACTACACAAGCCACAAATACAGAATCAATAAATAATATTGATTACTACAAGTGAAGACCTAGGTTCAGAGCCTTGGAACCAAGATTCAGACACAGATTATTTGGATCCAGAAACCATCTTTTGAGACTGGGGATGTAACTCAGTTGGTACAAATGCATAGCATGAATGAAACCCTGGGTTTGATCCCCAGTACCACATAAACCAGGCATGGTGGCACATACCTTTAATCCCAGCACTTGGGAGGTGGAGGCAAGAGGATCAGAAGTTTAAAGTCTCTGCTACATAACAAGTTTAAGGCCAACCTAGAATACGTGAGACCTTGTCTTAAATTTTTTTAAAAAAACTAAAAATCTGTCCTTTGCACAATGGCTGCTTTCAAAGTGGTTTAAATTGTTTCCCTTAATTTTTCTTCATTTGTTTTACAAATGATAGTGTCAAAATAATTTTTTTCTTTATTTTAGGCCGAAAAACTTCATTATAAGGATAAGAAACTAAACATTGGTCCAGCAATAAGAAAACAACAAGTTGGGATTCCACGTATGTATTGAGAATTAGGGTTTGGGGATTTAGCTCAGAGGTCGAGCACTTGCCTAGCAAGTGCAAGGCCCTGGGTTCGGTCCTCAGCTCCAAAAAAAAAAAAACTGAAAAAAAAGAGATAATTAATAGAATTAATATGTTCTTCAATATTTTTCATGATTCTTTTGTGAAATTAACATTTTATAGACCTTTATGAAAATATGTTTCCTTTGTGTAATAAAATTATATAAAATATGAAAAAATTATGTAATAAACGATAATGTTGAAGTATATTCCGTATACTTAACATCTTTAAAGGAAAAATCCCTTTCATTTTTTTAATATTTTATTTATTATTTTTATTTTATGTGTATGCGTGTATTGCCTGCATGTAGGTAAGTGCACCCATGTCATGCAATGCACACAGAAGACAGAGAGGCTGTTAGATCCCCTGGAACTGGAGTTACGGGCAGTTGATAGCTGCCATGTAGGTGCTGGGATTCAAACCCAAGTCTTCTTAAGAACACAGTCAGTGTTCTTAATCACTGAGCCATCTCTCCAGCCTCCCCATTTTCATTTTTTAATTAGCATACAGTATTGTGTTTCATGATGGGATTTTCAAATATAATTTGTTGGTTGATTTCTCCCCTCTCTCTACATGCACCTACTTCTGCCACACCTTCCTGCCCCCCGCCCAGCCTTCCACCATCATCCCATAGCCTCTTAGCCATTTTCAGGTCACATGTGTTCAGTACCCTTCCCACTTTCTCAGCTCTTCTTTTTCCCTTCTCACAGGCCCCTTTCTGTTTACATGACCTTTACACACACACACACACACACACACACACACACCTTAAACATTTAAAGCTAGAAACTCTATGTGAGAGAACATTTGTTTTTTGTCTTTCTGAGTCTGGGTTACCTAATTTAATATAACAAATTAGGTAAATTTTCCTGAAAATTTCATAAGTTCATTTTTCTTTGTAGCGGAATAAAGTTCCATTGTGTATATATGCACCACATTTTTATTTTGAGAGAGGGTCTCCCTTTAACCCCATGTGGCCTGCAATTCACTATGGAAACCAGGTTGACCTCGATCTCACTGAGATCTGCCTGCCTCGCCTCCTGAGTGCTAGGACTAAAGACATGGGCCACCACTCCCAGCAAACATTTCATTTTCAGTTCATCTATTGATGAACATTTAACCAGTTTGATGTCCTTGCCATTGTGAATAGAACAACAATAAAGGCCCATCTCTTCCACCCCTGGACATATACCCAAAGGAAAGTTTTTTTATGATGTAAATATTACTTAAAATATCAAGAGTAGAAGGAATTTAGAATAACTAATTAAAACGATTTATAATTAAAGAAGTATTTTTAATTAAAATAAAAATACTGAAAGTGAGCTGGGCGTGGTGGCACACGCCTTTAATCCCAGCACTCAGGAGGCAGAGGCAGGCGGATCTCTGTGAGTTCAAAGCCAGCCTGGTCTACATAGTGAGTTCCAGGCCAGC